AGTTCCACAGTATAAGGATACGTTGAGTGAAAAAGTATTTCCTTTTATTAGTTTTGAAGTTTCCCACCTTTCAATTTTAGTGAATGTCCCCTTGTTTTTGTGTTGTGAGACAGGGAAAATAAACGCCTCCAATCTCACTTCTCTATGACATTCATATATATATTTATATATATATATTATCATGTCCATTCTTATTTGTCTCCTTTCTAAGGTAAATAATGCCAATCTTTTCAATCCTTTTTGAAATGGGATGACCAGTACTACACACAGTATTCCAGATGAAACCATGTAATCAGTTAATACGATGGCATTACAACATGTTCTGTATTATTTTCCATACCATTCTTCATGCATCCAAATATCTTGTTAGTTTTTTTGACCATAGCTGAACATTCAGAGGTCTTTAATGAGCAGTCCGCAATGTTCACCACATCCTTTTTCCTGAGCTGATAAAGTTAATTTAGAACCCTGTGAGGTGTATGTGTAGTTCAAATAATTCTATCTCATGTGCACTATTTTGCATTTATCAATAATGAACTTCTACCATCATGTTGTCCATTCACCTAGCCTGGTTAAATCCCTCTGTAGTTCCTCATAGTCTTCTAATTAATTTTGTGTCATCTGCAAATTTTGCTACCTCACTACTCACCACCTTCACAAGATTAATAAAGAAATAATAAGTGTTAAATAACATCAGACGTAATATGGAACTTTGAGAAAACCTGGTGCTATCTTTTGCTTTGACAAAAATTGATCTTTTGTCTCCTGTCTCATAGCTATTTTTTGATTCATGACCACACTTTGCCTCTGACCCCATGATTACTTAGTTTCTTCAGTAACTTTTTGTGAGCAGCTTTGTCAAAGTCTAGGGGCATGTCTACACTTACCTCCAGAGCGATCGATCCAGCAGGGGTCGATTTATCGCATCTAGTGAAGAAGCGATAAATTGACCGCTGAGTGCTCTCCCATCGACTCTGGTAAACCACTGGAGCCAGAGGCGCAGGCAGAGTCGACGGGGAAGCATCAGCAGTCGACTTACCGCAGTGAAGACGCCGCGGTAAGTAGATCTAAGTACATCAACTTCAGCTACATTATTCATGTAGCTGAAGTTGCGTAACTTAGATCTTTCCCCCCGATACCTCCCCAGTGTAGACCAGGACTAAGTAAATTTTATATCTACTTGGTTCTCCCTTTCCATTACTTTAATGTCACATTCAAAGAATTCTAATAGATTGGTGAGATAAGATTTGTCTTTAGTTTCTCAGTTACTTAGATGTTCCATTGCCTTCCTTGTTAGAAATATACAAACAAGCAAGGAAAGGTGATTCACACAAAGTCATGTCATTTGGATTGTGTCGGATAGACAGGCTACTTTTTAATTCCAGGTGGTTTTATTTATTATCTGTGATATTGTTATTCTGATTTAAAAGTATTTTATATTATAACAATAGCAGGGAACAGACGATGCATCACCCTGCACCTTAAAATTGATTGTTAAAACGTGGAGAAAAGAAGGAAATGTTAAAATTAATGAGCAAAGAATTACAAGCCATGCTGGTTTGAACAATGGAAGATGTCTGGTGTACTTCTCAGATGGCTTAAGGCAGTTAGCCTCATGCCTCAAAAAACAGCCAAGTCACAGACCCAGTATTTGAACGCTTGTTTCCAAAAGCATTTGGTGTATTTGAATGTTGAGTTCCAAAGGTAATTACTGCATTGGTCAAGTTTGTCCTCTTAGATTCGTCTCAACCTAATTGTTACTTTAAAAAAGAGGACAAGGTGGTTTACAGGGTTTGAACTGAGCCAGTTCAAAGTGGTTTAGTGAACTGCTGTTTTCTTGAATGTTGGCATATTGTGCTCCCAATGTCAGCTTTCCTATTAAATCAACTTTAGTTCTTATGGTTTCAAAGATAATCTTAAAAATGTTAATGGAGCAAAAAACTGATGCTGCGCTGTCTACCTGATTCTGCAGATATCCTGAATTGCTCTGAGAATAGGGTGAAATGGCACTCTTAATTTGAATGAAATGTTAACTCTGAAGTCTAATGACGATAGTTTAAGTGGCAATGTTAATTATTTCATTGTTGATAAAATCATACAAGAAAGAAGGGAGTCCATTGTGTTATGGAAAATTACTCTTCTGCTAGTGAAATCTTGTTTTCATGCCTCCAGTGGGAGGAGCTTGTTTTGTGGGTGGAGCTTGGAAGTGTACCGATTCTTCCTGCCTCCCCCCCAACTCAGCCATTGGTGGTTTAGGAACTTTTGGTTGACTCATATTCCACTCCTTTGAATAACAACCAGTGAGAGCCTTTGCAGTTTTATACAAACAAACAAAAACCACACAAATATTCAGTTGTGTAATGGTAATGGCTTATCAGAACACCATAAAACCCAAACACACTTCCACTGATGTACACACAATGGAGAAGGACATTATAATGTATTTGTATCCTATGGCAGGTTGTTATGAAATAAAGGCCAAAAAATCAGGACTAATCTGGTCAAATCAGGACTAGTATCCACATTACTGCTACTCAGTCCTGCCAATTTTACTTCAAAAAATATTTAAATTGAGTTTAGGGCATGTGAAAAATGATAGATTAAAAATACTGGAGACTGAAGTCTTCCATCCACAGAACTGATAGTAACACAACACACAATAAACTTCCATATAATGCCCTT